CCTGGGAATGGTCGTGTGCATCGGACATGGTAGTGGGTTTTGGTGTGGTCATCTGCTGCCATGGTAGTCTAGTTACATTCAATTTGTGGAGTGTGGTTTGATTTTCAAAATATTTTTTGAAAGTCTGAGAGATGTGTTTGATTCTGTGGTGGAGGTAGTTAATGGAGGTTGTAAGAGGTGGTGGTGTGGTGTGGTGTTGGTGTGAGTGATGGAGACTGTGGGGATGGGAGATGCTTTATGGAAGAGGTTGGTTGCTATTGGGTAAGAGGTGCTCTATGGATGAGGCACTGATAATGGCTTGGTTGATATTATGATGGCTCTTTACATGCGAGTTGTTGTGACGGAGATTACTATGTAAGGCCAAGTGTTTGAAGGTCAACTGTTTGAAGAAATGATAATAAAACCAAGTGTGTTATTGATGCAAGAGTTATTAAAACAAATGGTGGACCATAGGAGAAGAACATAACAAGGGTAAATTTGGGTTTTTGAAAATTAAATGCTGAAATAAGTTGCATCTGTTAGTTGACTTTATTGCCAATTAACAGAAGGATTTTTTTGTTATGCACTTGTAAACCTGAAGGAGGGGGTTATAATTTATAGAACCACAAGGATATTATTGTATTAGCTTGAAACCTCAAGGGTGTAAGTGTAATTTACCCTTAAAATTATAAGAATAAAATGAGAGGGGGGACTATAGGAGAAGTTGTCAGTGTTGAACTAAATCTATATGTAACAGCAGAGTATCTTGTGCAAAGCAATCTATATATAACAGTAGAGTGTGAGGGGGGGGTCTCAGTATGTAATTATTTTTTAAAAAATACATTTGAATAGTAATTTTTCCCATAAAACAAAGCATCAATACATGTTTACTTGTTTGATCGAATTAATTTTTGTTTATTATTTTAAACATCAATTGAGATGGTTTCATTTGAGGGGTTGATTTTCTTTTATATACTTTCAGTAATTCTGAAGTATAGATACGTGATATTTTATAATATTGTAATTGGTGAAGAAGGTGGATAAATGTAGTATTATGTTGAGTGATTGAAAAACATAAAATGACAGAATAAATTATAATTGGTTAAGAATACAAATACGTGATACTCCAAAAATAATCTATAATTTTGCTAATGAGCAATGATTGAGACTCCCATCACTACAAGACCCCCACAAATCTAAACCACTCATGATATAAACTCCACACATACATGGAGAGTCAGAATCATTTTAGAGATGTAAAGGTCATCCCCAAAAGGGATCCCAAACATTTTCCTTTTCCTAATACATGAGTCACTCATGTATTCATTATTGCTTACTACTAAGGGATGTTTTGAAAAGTTGGTAAAAAGTTGGCTTTTGACTTTTTACCAAGCTTTTTGACTTTTTTGGAGGTGATTTGGGAAGTTGGTAAAAAGTTGACTTTTTTGATTTTTGGTTTAATATTTTTTAAAAGTGTCACATCACTCTAAAATGACCAAAATACCCTTACCTTTTTAATGAAATTTACGATTTTGCCCTTTTGCATGTCAACACTTTTTGAATTAATTAATTACAATTTCCAACAAATTTTAATTTATTTTTATTATTATTACAATTTCCAAAATTTACCAAATATTTTTTATTATTACAAATTTATTATTCTCATTTTTAGGAATTTATTTTTTGTATTATTACAAGTTTATTAGTAAATGTATTTTTTTTTATACAAACAATTACCAAATTATCCAAACAATTATTGCAAATGACCAAAATACCCCTACCAAATTTTTAAAAATTATTACAGTTTTGTTAATTATTTTTATTGTTATAATTGAATGGCATATTTACTTTCTTAATTTTTCCCAACAAATTGCGCTCTTACAGTAATTAATTTCCACATTACAAACTGGTAAACACCCTTAAGACCCTGCAACTTACAAACAGAACTGTACATTTTTTGACACTTTAAACAGTTTCACACATTCATTTTGTTTGCCATCACCTCGTACAGACCGAACAGGATTACAACCCAAGTTCACGCCGATGTCGCACTAATTCATTCCGTATTGATTTCCTCAGTTCGTTCATATGTACGTCATCGTCGCCCTCTGGTTCACTATCATCATCGTCACCAAGACCGTCAACATTTGGCATGTCGTTGAATGTAAAATTCTTTGCATTCGTAACCTTGTTGAATGCCTCATCGTCACTCGAGTTGCGGCATATAAAATTATGTATTGCCATTGAAGCCCCAACCAATGGAACCTGCACTTTCTCGAAATCATATTGAGACATGTTATGTAGGAATCCCCATCGCGCTTTTCATACGCGGAACATACATTCAATTGCACTCCGTTAGGACGAGTGCACCGTGTTGAAAATTTCGTTTGCATTTTTTGGCCGTCCAGTTGTGCGAAATTGTCCCTAGTGGTAGCGGCATCCCTTAAACAGCGCCAAAAACCCTTTTTGGTTCTTGTACCCCGCATCAGCAAGGTAATATTTTCCTGGTTGTATTTCGATAATTTTGCGTTAGTATGGTGGTCGATTACAAATATGAAATGCACACAACTAATACAAACAAAAAAACTAGCCGTAATTCATTTAACTTTCTCTGGCATGGGGAATTGTTTGGCTGGGTCCTGTGTTACTTTGTTAAAAACTCTGCTGTCATGCATACTACCCTCACATCCGCAAGATATAAAAGTAAAACACAAATCGAAATCACACGCTGCAAGTATGTTTTGCGTGTGCCGCCCTTTACGGCCAAAATATGACGGTGCCTCCTAAGGCGGGAGATGTGCCTCCACATGTGTGCCGTCAAGCCCGCCAATACTGTCTTGCAGAATCATACAGCATCATGTGAAGGAGAAATGCTATTACTCAAAAAAAGTTTGCCTTACTTTCCGAAAGTGGCTACTATTCATAATTAAATGTGCGAAAAATAAATACCCTCACTTTGAATGGGAAATATTTCTATCGTGACTCTAAGTACGGATGTCTACTGTGTTGTGACCTTGTCGGTCGGCATTGTGCTCTCGTGAACAACTTCATCGTTTTAAGAACTCGCATTACATGATGCCAGCCTGTTTTTCCCGAGTGTTGAAAACGGTCTTCTATGTCCCAACTCGTGAAGCCCCGTAACACGAATATGAACATGCCGACACTCTGAACTACGTCTACACCATGGGGACGCTGTGGTACTGGGAGACCGCAATCCTCAACTAATGTCTTGCACAACATCAAGAACACCTCCTGTGACATCCAAAAATTTTGCTGAAATATTTCATTCCTTCCTCGAAGCATCTCATGCATCCACATACTACCAGTCAATGCGAATGTGTGAAACGGAGTCCTGTCAACATACGCGTACTCTTTGGCAACGCGAGCAATTTTCACCCAAATCATTGATGTTGTCGATTCCATTTCTCCGATCGTCTCTCGTATCCAGGCATTTATGTGGCCATTGCATACAACTCCCGAGCTAGTAGACGTTGCAAATTATATGAAATAAGAACTACCAGTTGTAGTGCTTAATTGCCGAAATGAGTTGCACAACTCCATGATATATAACACTCCTGCAGAAGCATATTCAACTACTACGTTGTGTTACTGTGGCCATGTGATTGCCCAAAGCCTAGTACACCATCACACTACCATGTGAATGCTAGTACATTTCCAGGATTGTACAATTTGTAGTTTGCATGCTTACATATAAGCATCTAACGTTCATGTGCTTCTGATTGACGTACGCCACATCAACTTTTTGATTATTTGGTGTGAATTGTTTTGGAATAAAATAATGAACATAAAGAAATGCAAATAAATAAGATAATGAAACACAAAAATATTTTTGCATTAAATAAATAAAAAGCACCCAATAAATAAATAATTTCTTTATTTATTGAAATGTAAGTACTTTGCTGCCTATATTAAATCATTTGAATAAATAAGTGTAGAAAATAAATAAAATAAATAAAGAATAAATAAGTCAATTAAAGAAATGTAACTACTTTGCATCCTATATATATATATATTTTTTTTGTCACAAAAATTAATTTCAACATAGTTAAAAAAACCCATCATTTTCAATGTTTTTTTAACCTTCCTGGGGACTACATTATCTACTTTTTAATTTTGTAGCAATTTATTGGTGTTTGATTTTGTAACCCCAATTTTCATTTTGTCAATTATAAAATAGATTTAACAAATTCAATCCAAATACACTATACGAATGTTGTACTTTGTTTTTCCCAGTAAACTAATGTATGCCCCACAACTCACCATCTGCCTGTGACAAGGAGCAACTAAAATAAATAATAACACAACAAACCAAAAAGAGCCTACAAAGACTTGCATGTACATTTCGTGGCCAAAAGTTGTGCATAACATAACAAGCATGTGACACAACAGTGCCGCCTTGCGGCGTGTATACTCCCATATCGGTTGCAAAGTTCTACAGAATCATACATACACGTCCACACCAAAAAAAAAGAAATGCGAACTGTCTCGCATGTGCACCATCCTAACAAAAAAAAAAAACAAATAAAAAAAAAACAAACACACATAATATACTACAGTCTCATGCTAACCAAATAGTAAAATGATAATCCAACCACAAAGGCCTAGTCCAAGTCAATAGCACCACCACTCCCGAACAGCCGTGTCCCCCCTTCACGATCCCTGCCAACATTGGCCGCTGTGCAGGCACGTTTCTCTATCAACCAGTTCACAATGTAATTCTGGGGGAGGGCCATGATGATGTCCCAATTATCGAGTGAATCCATTATGCCGTATGCGAATGAGAACAACTTACCGCCGGGCTCTAATCCAGGCGTGTTCATAAGCCGTGCAAGACAGTCCCCCACTGTGTTCTCACATTTACCCGTGACAACGTATTACGTGATTTTCAGCTCCCTGCTTTGTTTGCTCACTACTTCCACAAGATTGTCCATGCTACTAGCGATAGTACTAGGCGCTGCCCACTTGCGCTGTTTTGCATTGGCTGATCCATCCACGGCTGACTAGGGGGGAGCATCGTCAAAGAGGCTACTATCAACCATGTTCTCTCCGACAGTGTCATGGCTCGGCTGTGGTGGTGTGCCTGCACTGAGAGGTCCTGTCCCGCTATCCTCGTTGGCATTGGTTGCAGCAGCATCATTATCGCGCACTTCTGTTAGAGTCCATACATGTTTCCCAGTCGTTGCTGCGCTAGAGTACACGCGCTCCATGAGGTCTACGTGCTCTAGAGGCTCACTCTTGAATTTAGCACATCGGTTGTTCATCTGTGAAGGAGAAAACACATATGTCAGTACAGCTTGAAATGTATTTGCAGCCCTTAAAGTGTACCACCAATGACATTAACAGAGGCAAAACACATGAAGGGATTCAGATGTTGTAATTATAAAACAATAAATGTAACTTTTGAATTAAGTGTACACATCGCACATTGTGGGTTGCCCAACATATGTTAAAGTAGTATGTTCAACAAGTGCTTTGATTTGGAAAAATAGTTATGTGAACAAAATATGGCAACTAAAATCAGCGATGCTAGTACAACAGTATTGGGGAACATAAAAGCATTGTGAAAACATACCGTTTGCACTTTGGCCCACCAATGGTCAGGTGCAGTGAACAAGCCTGTCTCATGGTCGTTCCCAAGCCCTGTCAAGCCGTGGCTGGCATTCTCCAACTTCTTCCTAGAGACCCAATCTTTCTTCAAGTTGTCAAACTTGTTTTTCATTTGTTTGGCTGAATGTAGTAGGCTAGTTTTCTGTAGAAATTTGTTTGCTACGTTCTTATACCCTGCCATGGACAATCCACACGGTTGTCGATTACCATCTTCCATTTCAGCAATGATGAGTTGAAGAAACAGCTTTGTATTGTCGCTGTCGAATTGGCATTTTTGGACTGGCTGGGGTTAAGTTGCTGTGACAACGTTACCTCGAGACTTTGAAGGGGTACGGGGTGATGATCGGTTTGTTGCCATGAGTAGTGTTGTCTTGCTTGTAACATTTAGAATGCAATATCAGAAAGAAATGAAGTACAGTACATATTGTTTGCATGACCAAAAGTGAAATAACAGTGTAAACACAATTACTGCAGTAATAACAACAAACAGTATAACACTTTCCGAAAGACAAAGTCCGTTTGTACTACACGTTGGGAAAATCTTATGTAACAGGACCAAAACATTTAACTGACAGCAAAGTACATATGTCACTGGACACTTGACATGGAGGACGCCATCTGTATACTCCTTTGATTTTTTTGTTCATGTTATAAATTGAACTAATATAATCTACTGTGCGGAATGAAAGACAGTAACTGAAACAAGTTCATTTTGAATTTAGGTTAATACTTGAAAATGCTAGTTTAGTGGTGTCAGGACTCTAGCCATTTTGTTGTCTAAATTTGCACTCTATATTTCCACTCCCTTTGATTTGTTTTTACTGACAATGTGCTTGCATTATGTTTTAGGTGACTCATTTGCTATGGTTATGAATTGGGACAAAAAATGCTCCAAAAATAGCTTAGTTGCTCATTACTGGTTAATGGTCCCTAAATATATTTAGAGAATGTTATTAAACTAATTAGCAGTTGGCAGTTAATATAGCCAAGTATAAAATTCCAAAAATAACCCCTTACATTCAAGGCAACCAAACAAATACGTACAAAAATTTAATGATTTTATCTAAAAGATGTAGTAAGAAATGACTTACAAAATTCTTCCATATAGAAATTATTTATTGAACTACATGTCGAATTAACTGTAAATTCTACGTGAGTGTTGTATGACCTTCTGTGGCGAATCTCATGATGTTCAGCCAAATGCATGCGACAACTCTTTTTTGTGTGTGTGTGTGTGTGTCTGTGTGTCTGCGAAATTGTGATAGATCATGGAACCTGCAGAAGATCATTGAAAAAGAAAGGCACAATGGTTAGGTAATGAACTAATGGGACAGGGATTTCTTTCTATTCTCTATGTTCTTCTCCCGTTATTATGTTTAGCTTCTATTTGAATTATCAATGTTAGAAAAACTCTAGACCTAAATGCACTTTGTTGATCATAAGAACTAGAAAAACACAAGTTAACTTTCAATTTCAGAAGACAAAAAGAGAACTATAAAATTCATCCTAACAGCCACCAAAAAAACACTGAAAGCTCTTACTAAACTAACCCCTGTAGTGATGGGAAATTCATCCTAATAGCCACCAGAAATTCTCTACTGGGATTTCAAATTATTAAGACACCACAAAGATGATGGATATAGAATCACTTTGATATCTTCCCCATGGTGTGCTTGGATGTGTCTTGCAATTTAGCCTTTTCATATCAGTTCTGTCTTGACAGTCGGTAAATTAAGGCCTTGTTTTGGTGTAGTTTATAGGGGTTGTTTAACGTTTTCTTTTTTGGAGTCTGTGCTAGCTTTACAACTTATGAGGCAAAAATAACTTCAATAAGCTGATACGAGTTTTCTTTTTTAGTTTTTGTTATATGATTATCAACTTTAAGCTTTCTAGAAGTTGTACCAACAGCATCATAAAAACAGAGTATGGTGTGCGCTCATAAAAACAGAGTATGGTGTCCAATCCATGAAAGAGTGCAACTTTCATATAATAAATCCATTTCACTGTATATGTTACATATATATATATATATATACACACACTACACTTTAGTTAATGAGATGCATTAGAATTCTTAGATCAATTTGTCATTTTGTTAATCTGCAGCTGTTCTAAGTACAGAACACCTTGGTGTTTCAAATCGGATCAATCATTTTTTCACATCCGAAATCACAAGTGCAAACAAATATGGACCAACCATTATGAATGTCATCCGAAATCACAAGTGCAGGTCGTCCACAAGATCAAGAACAACTGTTGTCATGGTTTTGGGTCCGTCACTACTTGCGAGAAGATAGTAAATGGAAGACGGTTTTTGGCGTACCTGATGGTGCAGATCCGGCCAAGGCGAGGACGTGGACGACGAATCCGACGGCAGCTTCGGCGGCGAACGATAAGGTCATCGGTTGTTCGAGGGAGTTACACGGCGCAGCTTTAAGGAGGATTTCGCAATCGCAACCAAACTCTAAAGGAGGCAAATGTAGCCTCGTTTTGCCCTAGGCCCCAATTTATGAGATGAGGGTAGTTTGGTAAATGGTCGAGTTGCGTTTTTGGGTCTTCCCAAATAGTGTGTTTAGCGTTTTTGGTGTGTTCTGCGTTTTTTCCCTAGCCTAAAAACGCAACTTTTTATCAAGCTTCCCAAAATGGCACTAAGGCGCTGTTTGGGAAGTTTGGTTTTTGTTTTTTTCCACTAAAAAACAAATTGGTTACAAAACCAAAAAAAATAATCCAAACAAAATATTACATCAAACCCCATAATCATTTCACTTTTTATTTCACAAATATCACATCCAACCATAAAAAAACCCAACTATCTTCCCAAATACAAAAAAAAATTTCTCCAATAATATCTTACAACTAAAAAAACCTATAAAAAAAACTCACTTCCCAAACACCCACTAAATTACCCTACAATCTTGAATTGAATTAAGCTTATTCTTAGCCCAATAACATTGACGAAATGTCATTTAAATATATATTTCGAGCCATGGTTTATAAGGATTCAGTTTTGATAATCTGAATTATTTATTTTATAAAATCATTTATGTATATATTATTCACAAAAAAAAAGTTGATAATTGTAATCTAATAAATTTATCTCATTTGTCTTTAAAAAATAGGCGATAAATATATATTTAAAATATGATATTTATTTTTTTAATGATAAACATAATAAATTAAATAAATTATAATTATTAAATCGACTTAATTTTTTTATAAATAATATACACCAATTATTATACAAAATAAATAATTTGGATCATAAAAAAAACGATCCCAAAAATCTGAAGAACACGCTGTAGACTGGAGGCAAGTGGCAAAATGGGCTTGTATTGAAATTGCTGCTTATAATTTTATTTTACGACAATGCTACGTAGCTCAAATTTTGTGGCTCAAAAGTGGCTCAAATGGCCAAAACGACGTCGTTTTGAGTACAGAACAACATAAAAATGACCAAAACGACGTCGTTTTGAGTACAGACATTTTCCTTTATTTTAAGACCTTTTAATATTCTGTTTACGTATAATGGAACTAAACACAGTATAATTGCTATTATTTTATTGAGTAATTATTCACCGTCACCTGGAGACTTGTCAAAACAATCAGTTTATTTTTATTGAGTAAAATCAATGAAAAAATTGATATTTTATGCGTCATTTGTTTCATCAAAAAATATTTTTTAAAAAATATTTTTTACATTTTTTGGTGTTTAGTATGATAGAAAATATTTTTTATTGTCAATAAAAAATAAATTAATTTAGACGGAAAATATTTTTTACTTTGAAAAAGTGAAAATATTTTTTGAATTAAACTTTTACCAGTGCTACCATTGTAATAAAATAAATTATAAGTTTTTAATCTTATCAATTTAAATCTTAAATTTTTTATTGGTTTTAAATTTAAATTATTAGCCTATTTCTATTAAAAGTAAAATTAACAAAAAAATGATATTTTAGTCATGAAGCTCAACAAAAAATTAATATTTCAAACATTTTATGTATATTTACATTGAGTTTAAAAACTAAAATATCTTTTTCTCATTAATTTTGCTTAACAAAAATAGAATTATGGTTTAAATTAAAAATAAATCAAAAATTTTAATTTAAATTAATAAAATTTAAAATTTATTTTGTTCCAAGAGCACTTCCACACTTTGTAAAATACCAAAACATCTTTTGTTATTAACTACGCAGTTCGATTTTTTTTTTTCTTTTGTTTTAAATTATTTTTAGAAATATGTTACAGTATATGCATTATAAAAAAAATAATATTAATTTAATCATGATATAAAATATAATATAAATAAGTATATAATAATTTTAGCTAAATTATTTATGTATATATATCTATGTGTACATATATATCACTACAACAAAAACATACTTTAGTGGCACTATACTAGTGGCATATTTTTAGAAAATGTCACAAAAAATGATATTTAGTGGCACGTTTTTAAAAAATGCCACAAAACGACAAACATAAAAGGTTCTAGTAACATTTCAATGAACAAGTGTCACAAAACTACAACAAAAACATACTTTAGTGGCACTATACTAGTGGCATATTTTTAGAAAATGCCACAAAAATGATATTTAGTGACACGTTTTTGAAAAATGCCACAAAACGACAAACATAAAAGGCTCTAGTGACATTTCAATGAACAAGTGTCACAACACTACAACAAAAACATATTTTAGTGACACCATACTAGTGGCATGTTCTTAAAAAATGTCACAAAAAGAATATTTGGTGGCATTTTTTAGAAAAATGTCATAGAGCTACAAACATACAAGGTTTTAGTGGCATTTCAATTAAAAAAAGTGTCACTTCACTATAACAAAAATGTCACTACAACAAATTTACACTTTAGTGACACTACACTAGTAGCATGTTTTTAGAAAATGCCACAAAAATAAAAATTGGCATTAAATGTTTTAGAAAAATGCCACAGAACCATAAAACATATAAGGCTCTAGTGGCATTTCAATAAAGAAATGTCATATCAATTTTATGACATTTTATAAAATAATGACACAAAAAATTATGTTTGTGACATTTACCAACAGATGCCACTAAACTTTAGTTGCAATGGCATTTTTTAAAAAATATCAGGACACTAGGTAGGTGCAAATTAATTTTTATGGCACTTAGGTGAAAAGTGTCATAAATAAATATTTTATAGCATTTTGAGAAATGCCACTAAGCCAAAAACTTTCC